AATGAATACATTTGAAATCAACTTTTAAAAAATGACTAAAATTATTGATTACATGCATCTGTAGCTAAAGGAAACGCTCTCATCATTTGAGGATTACACTAATGGATAGATAATTTAAAAATCTATATTATTCACCTTTTATTTAATTTCTTAAGTTCGCTTTTTTTAATTGAAATAATTCCAAAAGGGCGTTTTTCTTACGCGATATAATGTAGCGAGAGCGCTCAAGGTTGTTCGCTAGGGTGGGACGCCCATCAGCGATGACGAAGGAAAACGAGTCAGGAGGGCTGCAGCGTCATCCCAATAGGAACTAGAAAACAAAAAATGCAGTTACCAACCCGCCTCACAAGTGTGGCAACTATGGCAAATATCTCCTTTGAGACAGTTTTACCTTTTACTTATTATAAGTCAGTGTTTGACCACAATCTCACCCGGTGTTGGTTGTTTCATCTTAAATCACTATTCTTACATTATATGTGTAAATCTAAATTTTATAAATTTTGTTTAGTTTTTTGCATGTCCGTGAGGACTAAATATGAGTATTTGTTACTATCGGTTTCCATCTAATTTAACATATTTAATGCAAATATGTTACTTCAATCGTTTCTACAACTGAAGCCTGGGCGCGAATTTCTTCCGGTGTCAATCGTAACGTCATCATATAAGCCTGATATCAGTATACCGCTGTGCCTCTTCCGTAGAACGAAGTTTAATTATATTATTTATTTACTAGCTGTGCCTGGTAAGTGTTGCGTTTTTGTCAAAAACATTGTCGAGCGTGTGCACAGCAAGTTATCAATGTTTTATCGTAATCGGTTGAGTGTTATAGGAACGCATGTAAAGCGAAAAAACAATCAAAATCAATTCAAACAAAAAAAAACTCAAACAAAAGTTACATCGTAATCGGTTAAATAGTTAAACAACCAACAAAGTAACATTATGTGACTAAAAGTACACGGAGTGCAAACACGCCTAGTTATATTACTCTGATATCATTATATATATATATATATATATATATATTTTTTTTGTATTAAACTGTCGATCCCCTTGCCTAGCCCCTAGCCCGCGGCCAAATATTGTTATAGACCATCAAACAAATTCAAATCTGATCTGAAAGTGCATACCTACCTCATGTTTACAATTTTTTTTATAGGAAAAGGGTGACAAGCGAGCACACAGTCCACCTGATGGTAAGTGGTTGCTGTGGCCCAAAGACATCTACATCTATCCTCGTTTGCGAATCAAAATGAAGATGCGTTGTCTGCCTTGAGGACTAAGATGGAATGCCTCGTTTCCAGTAACATGGGTCTCCGGTTCTCTACGCTCACCATACGAAACACAGCAGCATTAAGCTGCTACTTGACGCTGGTATTCTGTGAGAGCGCGGTCTTCCCCGGTCGAGCCTACCCATTCGTGCTACAACCATATATATATAGCTGCAGCGTGGCTCTACCACATAAAAACAACAATAAATAATGTTACCCCTAACTGCATTTTCGTTCAGAGATTTGTTTGATGTGGTTTTGATTGTAAATTTACAGATATTATACTAAAATGTTCATCAACATCGCTTATATTTCATAAATGAATTTCACTAGGGATCAAAGTGTATTAATTGCTTCAGTTATTACACGCATACCTACTGTAGGTATGCGTGAACTAACTAACGAAACAGTATATTATAATCAATAAATCGCATTTAATTACGTTTTTAACTGGTTGTCGAGTATGTCTGTTCGGATCAAATTTAGCAATTGATTTTAAAATAAATTCCCGGTGGCAATTTAAGAATATTAAAAAGAAGGTGTTATATCAAAAATATATTTTTTTAATTGCACATGTTTTTCGCAATGCGATGTGACGAAGCTATACTTCCGCTAAGCGATTTTTTTTTTTGCAACAAATTTTTGAACGTTTGCTTGTTTCAGTGCTGGTAGTGCAATTATTTGTTACTTGCAAGAAGAAGAAGAAGCAGTTTTATACTTTTTGGTCCGTTTTAAAAACGTGGTTTTTAAAAAAAATACCGATTGACTTGTTTCTAGCCAAGTTATCTATTAAACCTAAGCCCTTCGCTTTGCGTTTGAGGCAATTTCGTTGGAGGGGAAAAAATTAGATGAGTTGGTGTTTGTAGTCGCAGAGTTGCAGGTGTTTATTTTTGTCTGTAAATACAGTTACATCCTTACTTAGTATATGATATTGCAGATCTCCCCAGAAACAATGCTTAGTGATAAACACCACTTAAGTAGTCTAGAACCTAGAATGAGGTCTCAATTTTCTACTCATTGTTTGTGAACACGGTAGAGGTTCCCATCATCCTGACCACAGTTAGAAACCTAACATCCATCATGTTCAGGCATCCATCGTATTCCTAATTATTATTGTAAGTACTTTATAATCTTAATAAACGGGGTTCCATTCTTCAAGCGCTTTTTTAAAATGTATTTCAAAAACCGGCCTAAGTTTCTCTGCGTGATAGACGTAGAATTTAGAAAAGGGGATACGCGCGGTGAAACCAGATTTACCAAATAGTGACAAAGGATCAGCCATATAGCTTGAAGATCCGACAACCGATGGGGAAGAAATGTTTTTGAGCGGCATACTCGTACCGACAAGCGAAATGTGGGTCGGCCCCCAATTAGATGGAATGACGACCTGGTGAGTGGCCTGGAAGTCGGTGGATGCAGGTGATTGAGGACCGTTCTTAGTGGCATTCCTTGGAGGTGGCCTATGTTCAGCTGTGGACTTGTAAAGGGTTGTAATGATAATGAAGCATAATATCTACCTTAAGGATAAACCAAGTGAAAGTAGCATTAGAATAAGGCATTCTTTCATGCATGGATTTTTTACATTCTTTGGCCATTTTCTGTATAATCCAGTCAATGTATTTTTGTACGTAAATCGATTAAAAATGGAAGATTGTAGAAATGTACCTGTAATTCGAACATGGTTACTACGATGATACGGAAAAGTTGCTGATTGTTAGGTACTCATTGGAAGTTAATTTATGATAAAATATTTTACCGAAATTAACCCTAATTCGTTGGTATGTTATTAATTTTTTTACAGAAACGGAAAATATTTGTTAATTTATCTATTAGCACATACACCTGAGGTACAGGTTTATCTTAGTTGAGGTGCCTATTATTGTAGAATATTGTCTGGATTAATTGTGCAGTTTAATGATATTAAAAAAATCTCGAAACTAATTTCATTTGTTAAAGTAAACTAAAAGTGCCATAACTTTTATTGAGTGAGTCAGTGAATGACGGAAATAACTCAAGAACTATAACAGATTTGTTCATGAAATGTGTTTAAAGGGATCCTTATTAGTTATGCTTATCTTGTCACTAACTCAGCCTATACGGTTGGACCGATTTTAACTTCTTATATGTGTGCTGTCCCTGGATGGTTTAGGTCTAAAAAAAATTTAGAATGATGATTAGACTCGGTGAGGGGCGCTGTGTTTTGGTTAGGTTAGGTTAGAGATCACCCGTGCGAAGTCTGGGCGGGTTACTAGTTAGGTATAAAAAATGTATGTGAAATCGTTAGTGTAAGTATAAATACTGCCCCTTTTAGTACAGCTATTGCAGAGGGAAAATTTAATTTTGTACTTTTAAATAGATAAGTCCTTCAAATTTTCCTGGAATTCGTTGTAAAAGCGTTCGTACGTATTTCCTAACAAAGGAATCACTGAGTGGAGTCCGGTAGCTGGTGTTATTAGTTTCTGCTTGTTCCTAGTATTTACAGAGCGTATATTTCTATTTTTACTAAAACTTTTCTTGTCTTTGTATAATTGTATATATGTAAAAATTATTGTACATATGTACAATAATTTTTATTGACGATGTGATATTTTTTTTAAAGAATAAGGGAGTCAAAGGAGCACTCAATTGGACTATGTCTCATAAGCACCTCCATCTATCTTCAAATAAGAATCAAAGTGCAGATACATTGTCACCTTTGAGGACCAAGATGAATGTATACAGCGGTGGTAGGATAGCTACCGCATATCGTTCTGGACGCGTCGTAAGGGACGAAAAAGGGAAACAAGACGATGAGTCGTCTTTCTAATGCCAACTAGAAAATAAAAATGTGCGGTTCTCCCTACATTTCTACTATGAGTATATGAGGCAGTTTAAGAGGAGAACTATGTTCAGCTTGGACTTTTATAGGATGGGCCGTCCAATTATTTCTAAGTATCCCCCCGACTAGCTCGGAAATCTCTGCTATTAATAAAGTATTTTAATTTCCAATAAAAACCAATCAATAATTCCTACCGATCCGATATAGTGAGATGAAAATAAAACTGACGCGCAGTTCTCGCCCCCGGCGTTACACTTAATATGTTAAAGATAATGCAATTAAAATGTAATACCTACATTACGTACTCAAGTTCGTAGTTCAAACATACACGGATTTTAAAGCTTTTGTTGGGTCCCATGCTGATTGAAAAAATTTCTTCAATTTTTTCTTTAACACTTTTAATGTGAAACATCTATTGGCGAAGAGCCGTTAACGCTCGCTGTAAATATAACAGAACGCGAGTAACCCGTGTTCGATCCTCGCCGGCACCAATGAAATTGTTAATTGCAATTTTAAGTGCTGATTTATCACGTGTAAAGCGGTGAAGGAAAACATCGTGAGGAAACCTGCATGTCTGAGGAATGAGAAAAAAATTTTTTGGAAGACATGTGAAGTTCGCCAACACGCATTGGAGCAGCGCGGCGGACACTACCTTGCCCTAAAACCCTCTCAGAAATGAGGGGAGGCCTGTGCCCAGCGTATATGTATATAGGCTGTAACTTTTTATCTATTGCCGCGCCAGGGCAGTAAAAGCTATTCGTATGCCATGACGGCAAGAAATCCCACATAATATGTATTATGTTCTTTACCATGTGAGAGGTGTGGACTGATAATAAATTGATTGAATAACGGAATGCTGTTGTTTATAGGATTGGATAAAAATTATTAGAAGGACTGACCTCCAGATGGAACTATCAGTCGTTGTTAATGGCCACAGTCCATTGGAACAGTTTACTGAAGGAGCCTACAGATGGACGAACAAGATATTACACGCAACTTAAACTTTATGCACCCGTCACTGTTTTGGCTAATTTTCTACTAGTGGTCGTCCAGTCATTGAAATTCGACTGTAACTCATTAAACGTTTAAGCTTGTATTTTTGTCACATATAATCAGTAATTCACTTTTAACTCTACGTATTTCAACTCCACATTAATATATAAAATACAGAGATCGTATTTGAAAAACAATTAATCGCCATTTGCCTAGATACTACACTTCACAAATTACTGAAAAAGAGAATTAGAAATTAACAAAAGGTCATTGGTCAATCTGTCAGTAATTATTTAGTCGGCAATATTTTAAAATTCTTAGGCCCCAATCTCTGTGCGCTCTGTGCGACTGTTTGATCATAGACTATTACGTGTTTGAAAGCGACATTAGCAGTATAAACGTAAACAATATACGTTTTATTTAATGTAAATTATTTGTAATTAACACTTATTTTCATAATATGATTTTTAGCTTTCTGCACTCCTTGTCTATATAAACATAATAACTATGCCAAATCTCATTTCTTCGTGCGCGCAATAATGCTTTAAAAGGGATACAAAGTTTTCACTTTACGTATTTAACTAAAAGAAATTCATAAGGAACTACAGTTTCACGCGGTCAGTTTCTGTATTTATTTTACAATACTACAACATTGTGGAGCTGTATTGTCGATAATGTGAGATTTTTTACGTGATAGAGGGTCGCTGTAGCTATATTACGGCCTTGTAGCACGAATGTGTCAGCTCGACCGGAGAAGAATCACGCTCTGGAAACGAGGCATTGCACCCTCGTAATCATCAGGAGTTACAACGCTTTAGTCCAAGATAGATGTAGTCTATATATAGGCCACAGCATCCACATTTCATAATGTGGGCTGTAAGCTCTTTTGTCATCTATATTTTTATAAAGCATGGTAGGTAAATAGCGGAAGGAAGCGTTAGGAACGTGAAGATGTCTCTATGAATTTATTATTGAATTTCTACGATCTACTTAAGCAATAATACATATTTTGTCATAGTTCTTATATATATATATATATTTATATATATATATATATATATATATATATATATTATATACTATAAGATGAAAAATAAGTTAATTTAAAGTAACGATACGACTTAAGGATATTCAAGAAACGAGCTTACTCCTTTCTAAAAGGCCGGCAACGCATTTGCAATTCCCGCGGTGTTGCAGTTGTTCATGGGTGGTGGTTGAAACTTACCATCAGGTGAGCCGTATGCTCGTTTGCCCATCTCCTATAAAAAAGTTAATTGTAATTCTACATACAAGGCGGTTCTTAATTCGGCTGTATTTTTGCCAACTACAAAAAAAGGTTTAACATTCGACTGTGTTTTTTTTTGTATTTATGATACGAGATGTCTTTGTCAATTTTGGACCAACTTTGATGACGCTTTTTCATTAAATATGTTATACTTCAGAGATACCATACAAATGAGATGTTCCAAAATGTATGGAGCCTGGGCCAGGTCCTTGTACACTATACTTAAAAATAGGGAAACATATTTTAAACAGTTTTCAACCGTCTAATTATTTTAAAATGGCTTTGTTTGTTGTCTATGGGCCACAGCATCCACTTACCAACAGATAAACTGTGTACTAGTTTGTAAGTCTTATTAAATAATAAAAACATATTAAATAACACAAATTCAACTCACGCAGACGCGAGTAAAACGATCAATAATAAAGATGTATGTGGAATATATTCGAATTTCGTTATTGTTTAAAATATGCATGGTCACACCACCCAGATATTATTTTGCGACAGTTTTTAGAGGAAAAGCTTAAAACGACAGTTCCGTGGCGTAGTGGCTCAACAATGAGTTGCAGCGCTGGGGGTCACGGGTTCGAATCATTGTACGTGGTAGATCCATACTGCATCTATACTGTTGTAGAACGAATGTGTCGGCTCGACCGGGAGAGGACCACGCTCTCACAGAATACTCGCGTAAAATAGCAGCTTAATGCCTGCTGTGTTTGGTATGGTGAGTGTAGACAACCGGAGACCCTTTATAGTGGAAACAATGTATTCCATCTTAGTCCTTACAACAACATCATCAAATGCCAACGCGTCTGCATTTTATTTCTTAACTATCTCATACCCGCTCGCTTCACTGGGCGCACAATAATAGATGATAATAACGTAGATATAAAATATCAAGATTTTCTTTAATGGCAATATCGTTAAATCCGTTCAATCGGGTGTACAGTTTTACAGATATAAAGAGTGTCAGTACGTATATATAAGTACGTACTACATGCGTATATATATATATATATATATATATATATATATATATATATACCATCCACCATATATGTATGTGTGGTTTTGAACAAAATGGTTGCTCAGCGTCTTATGCTACTCGCTCAGTACGGGATTATCCAAACACAGAATATCCCGGTAGGTGGATTGGACGTCTTGCAACGCAAAGTCAGGACGCAATACAAAGTCTAGCCGATTACTACGCTGCAAAATAGCTCAAACAGCAAAGGAAATAAACTCAAGGAGATACGCACGATTATATTCTGAGACGATGCAGCGCCTGTATTCGTGCCGAAGGCAAATAATTTGAACATATAATTTAGTTTTCAGAAAGAATAAATTTATTACAATATTGTATATATAACAATGGGCCGTCATTATCATACTTTGATATTTTGTTGTTCAAGTTTTTTATGTTCTAAATTCTTGATAATCGTGATAATATTTTTATGGAAAGATAAGTAGCAAGTGTTATACTATTTTAAAATCTTAATTAAATGGACCATTTATGAAACTACTTGCTTATGGTAGTATAGTACATTTCTAAAAACAAGTCGTCAAAGCGAACGTTTTTAACCATGACTTAATTAAGCTATATTATTTTGTAGAAAACTCACAATATTAGTTATTGGATTTGTGACTACAATCAATAGCATAGCCATTTAGGATTACATATCTTAATATAAGATTTAGGGTGCTGATTTTGAAAAGTATACCTCTTATCACTTAACCAAGTAACATGGTTTTTTTATTTTTGGTAGAGCTGGTACAACCTTGCTTATCGCCCCGTACGAATTACCAATCTGAATCACACAACCTCGTTAATTCTTCAACCGAGAGAACGTCAAAGTGTTGTGTTTGTGTTTTTTTTTTATATTAGAGTGACGAAGGGCTAAAGGTAACGTATAATTCAATAATAAGTAAGTGCCTATTACAGCCTATAAGTACAGCCTATATATTAGAGCCGTGGTAGCTCAGATGGTTAGCGCTCACTGTAAGGTTCGATCCCCGCCGGCACCAATGAAATTGTTAATTTATCACGTACTCGGCGGTGAAGGAAAACATCGTGAGGAAACCTGCGTGTCTGAGAAATAAGAAAAATATTTCGAAGACATGTGAAGTTCGCCAACACGCATTGTGGCAGCGCGGCGGACACTTCCTAGCCCTAAAACCCTGTCAGAAATGAGAGGCAGCCTGTACCCAGCAGTGGGACGTATATAGGCTGTAACTTTAATTTACTTTACTTTACTTTTATTACAGCCTATAAACACCTACCATCAACATAAATAAAAGAAAATTAAAAGGAGGACTAGAAAATAATTCTATATATAGCCTATAATTATTTCTTATCCGTCTTGTTCAAACAACTAAAGCTATTTTAGCTGGCTCTCATAAGGATTAACAGGAAACGCCTACACTGGCTCGTTTATCCTTGCTTGGGTACACTGCTGTTACAGAAATATACAAGAGAGACTACGAGAGTGTAGGCATCGCCAAGTTTCAGTTTAATTACTTTGCTGATTGAGAAAGCCAACGTTCAATCTTGAGCAACGTTCGAATAATGATCGCCTGTCAAGTTCATACCCCATACGCACGTATTTGCTTGCATACACAAAGTGCGTCTATCGAATTTCAATAGGACGACTTAAAAAATTAGTTAAAAAGCGAGTTAAAGTTCTAAATATACTCGTAGATCAAATAAATATCTGTAGGAAGCAATGTATGATTCGCGACTTTGGCCTTTTTTACATATTATTCGATTATGATAATTGATGTATTTATGTAACTCGGTGTAAGTAATTAAATTTTACTTCAGTACTCAATGAAAGAAATTCTAATATTATATTTGACTACCCTTCTTCTTTTAGCTAGCAATTTTATGGTAACGAACATGAAGGTTATCTCTAACCTTCATGGTAACGAATTCCGCCAACGCCAATGTCAAGTTTTATTTCTTTCTATTTCTTTATTTGGTAATGAACTCGTACGATTGTACTTTTGCCAGTATCAAGTAATCACATAATTATCTTTCATAGTCATAGAGCAACACGGGTGACGGGTGGATCAGAGGGGAGTCGCCAAAGAATTTTATCCCGATACAGAACTGTCTATAATTTTTTGCAGGGGAAATTCTGCGCACACTAAAACAATCGTCTGTCGTTACGAAACTACATAACAAACAATATACTAACAATTACACACATTCATAGATACATTACAATATGTACGTATGTAATTACTAATTACTCTAAGATTATAAATAGTATCGCTCGGTGACAGTGATGACTCGGGTCAGTCGCTCGTAGTTCTGCATATTGTATGAAGACGAGCGAGAAGCGTAAACAAATCCGAAGCAACACGACTGCTCCTATTTTTTTTTTGTTGTAGAATATTTTCTACGTAGTGATGATTTTATAGATTTATATGCAAAATTAATTTATTTTAGTCTTTAATTTATAATTTTTTATTGGTATGCATATTATACGTGCAGATCTGAAAAGTTTTTTCTGCAAAATAATTGTTCACGAAGATGATTGCCTCCTCATTAGACGAAAATCTCTATCCCCCGAGCGCAGTTTTTAGATGAGGGGACAAAAAGAAGTCGTTTGGGGCTAGATCTGGTGAGTAAGGCGAATGGTCAAGCTGTTCAAACCGTAATTCGTGGATTTTCGCCATAGCAATCA